TAGGGCGGGGGTTGCCATCTTTGATCTTGACTATGATGCTATCCTTGCTGCCATGTATGCTGTGACTGCTAGTGTTGAGGGTGACTGTTACCTGTGTGTACCGCCTGACCCGGGCATTGAGGCTACTGCTCTAGGTGCTAGTGCGTCTCCTGCCCCAAGTGCTAGTGATCTGCTGCCCCAGGTGCTAGTGAGTCTGCTCTCTCAGGTACTACGTCGGCTTAAGCCTTACACACCTTCACCCTTGACTCGGGTGCGTCCCGCTCCTTCTTTCGAGACCGCACCACGCTTACGCCGCTTTGTCGGCCGGTTGCAGTCTCCCTGGCGGACCCCTCTGGGGGTCCTGTCCTTGCTAGCTTCTCCACTGTCTTACCGTGCCCGGCAGCCCCCTCTGGCACCCTGTCACGTCTCTACCTCCCCTCGTTCTCTACGAACTTGGTGAGTGAAGCGGACCTACAGGATAGGGGGGTTGACCAGTTCACTCCTGCAAGTCAGCGGGTGACCCACTGTACGTGTGCTTGGACAGGCCGACACTTGGCCACGTTCACCCGTCGGCCAAGGTCCAGCCTGTACACCCTTACTACTGAGTCTCCTCCGGCTGCTGAGTCTGGCCAGGTAGCTGCGTCGAGTCAGGTGTTTGCTGCAGCGTCCAGGTCTGGTCCTGAGTCTGCTCCCTGCTTCTGTCGTCTTCTGTCCCACCAGACTCTCCTTTGGCACCACCGCCTTGGTCACCCCTCCCTGCCTCGTCTCCGAGGCATGGCCTCCCGTGTCCTTGTCTCTGGTCTCCCCCGGTCTCTCCCTCCCCTACCTCCAGGGCCTGACCCTACCTGCGTCCCCTGTGTCGAGGGGCGACAGCGCGCCGCCCCTCACTCCTCCGAGTTTCCTCCGACAGAGGCTCCGCTGCAGACCCTCCACATGGACGTGTGGGGCCCCGCCCGCGTCCGTGGACAGGGGCACGAGCGCTACTTCCTGTTGGTGTTTGACGACTACTCGCGTTACACCACAGTCTTCCCCTTGTGCAGCAAGGGTGACGTCACTGAGGTGTTGATCGACTGGATCCGCGCAGCTCGTCTCCAGCTCAGGGAGAGTTTCGGCTCGGACTTTCCTGTTCTGCGTTTGCACTCTAACAGTGGCGGGGAGTTTTTCTCTGCCCGTCTGGGAGCCTTCTGTCGTGCACAGGGCATCCGCCAGACCTTCATGCTTCTGGCCTCTCCACAGCAAAATGGGATTGCTGAGCGCCGCATTGGCATGGTCATGGACGTCGCTCGTACGTCCATGATGCATGCGGCTGCCCCCCATTTTCTGTGGTCGTTTGCGGTTCAGTATGCCGCGCATCAGCTCAACCTTCAGCCCCGGGTCTCCTTGCCAGAGACCTCCCCCACCTTACGGTGGACGGGGAAGGTTGGCAATGCGTCTGCGTTTCGGGTCTGGGGATCTCGGGCGTTTGTCCGCGACTTGTCTGCGGACAAGCTGTCTCCCCGTGCTGTTCCCCGCGTCTTCCTTGGCTTCCCCCCTGATGCGCCTGGTTGGCAGTTTTACCACCCCACCTCGCGCCGTGTTCTGTCCTCCCAGGACGTCACCTTTGACGAGTCGGTACCTTACTACCGTCTCTTCCCCTACCGCACTGCACCCCTTCCCCCGCCCCCGCTCTTCCTTGCGTCAGGTCCTCCCCCGGTAGATCCCCTCCCCCCTCAGGGTCTTGCCCCGTCAGGTGTGTCCCAGGTAGACGCAATCGAGCCTGTCGAGGTAGCTGTTGACTCCGGTGCTGCTAGAGGTGCTGAGCCTGCGGGTGCCGGGTCTGGAGGTGCTGAGTCTGGGGGTGCTAAGACTGGGGGTGCTGAGTCTGGGGGTGTTGAGTCTGGGGGTGCTGAGCCTGGGGGTGGTGAGTTTGGAGGTGCGGAGCCTGGGGGTGCGCAGCCTGGGGTGCGGAGCCTGGGGGCGCTGGGTCTGCTCGTGTGGCCGCCGACGGTGCTTCGTCGAGGCGGGAGCCACTCTCTCCACAGGAGCTGCGCGAGTGGTTTGCCCGGCGCTGGAGCCGTGCTGCAGGAGCTGGAGGTACTACTGTTGCTGCTGGTCCCGGAGGTGCTCGTACTGGCGGTACTGGAGCTGCTGGGACTGGGGGTGCTGCTGGGGCTACTGGAGTTGGTCCTGCTGGAGCTGTTGGCGGTTCTGGAGCTGACGGTCCTGCTGGAGCTGCTGGAGTTGGAGCTGGTGGTGGTGTTGGCACTGGTGTTTGTACTGGCGCTGGTGCGTCTGCGGGTGCTGGAGTTGGCGCTGTTGGAGCTGGGGGTGCTGCTGGCACTGGTGCTGCTGCTGGGGGTATTGGTGCTGTCCCTGCTGGTTCTAGAGGTGCTTCGCGGCCGCAGCCGTACTTCGTTCCACTCCTTGAGCAGGTTCTTGGTCTCCCGCCCTTTACTGGTCCTGCTCCTCCCTTAGAGTGTCCACAGCCTGTCCACTCGCAGTCACAGTTACAGCCCGCCTCCCCCCTACCTGCTCCTTCTCCCTACACTGGTCCTACTAGAGGTCTTGCTGAGCGTCGTGAGCCTGCGTCTCGTCCTGCGTCGCCTGTTCGTGCTGCTCGCACTAGTTGTCGTGCTCCGCGTCCGCGTCCTCCTGCGGTCCCAGGCACACACCAGATGGCACTGCGTCCTTCCACTGCTCCTCTGCGTGTCCCGTTGCCGTCTCCTTCAAAGTCCTTTCTTCCTCTTCTTGCTGACCCGGAGTCTGACTCTCTTCGTGCTGCCAGTCCTACTGTCACGCGTCTCCTGGCCACTGTTGTCACTGACCCTTTCTTTGAGTCCACTGCTGCGTCTGCCCTAGTTGCTGAGCTTGTCGAACCCGGCGACCGCTTCACCCTGAAAATCTACATGCCATCGACCATGTTCGCCCCAGGAGGGGGAACTGTGTCGACGTAATTGCCTGTGGACCACCAGCACCTCCAAGACCAGCAGCTCTAGCGCCTCCAGCTCCAGTGCCTCCAGCGGCAGTGTCTCCAACGGCAGGCCCACCAGCTCCAGCAGTGCCACTCCGAAGGCGGATGCGCCGAGCAAACCACTCGCGCAGCTGCGGTGGAGAGAGAGGCTCTCGCCGTGACGAGGCAACCGTAGGACCTCCAGCAGACACAGTATCTCTAGGCTCAGCACCCCTAGACTCAGTACCCCAAGGCTTCACACCCTCATGCTCAGCACCCCCAGGCTCCGCACGCTCATGCTCACCACCCTCAGGCTCCGCACCCTCAGACTCAGCAACCCCAGGCTCAGAACCCCCAGGCTTCGCATGCTCAGGCTCAGCACCTCCAGACGCAGCACCCCTAGCAGCACCCCCAGACGCAGCACCCCTAGCAGCACCACCCTTTGCAGCACCAGAGTCGACAGCTACCTCGACATGCTCAGCCAAGGGGAATGGGTCTACCTGAGACACTCCTGAGGGAGCAGGACCCTGAGGGGGGAGGGGGTCTACTGGAGGAGGACCTGGTGCGAGGAGGGCGGCGGGGGGGGGGGGGAGGGGCAGTGCGCTAGGGGAAGAGACGGTAAAAGGGAACTGACTCGTCAAACGTGACGTCTTGAGAGGGCAGGACACGGCGCGTGGTGGGGTGGTAAAACTGCCAGCCAGGCGCGTCAGGGGGAAAGGCAAGGAAGACACAGGGAATGGTGCGGGAGGAGTGCTTGTCCGCGGAGGTGTCGCGGACAAAGGCATGAGAGCCCTATACACGGAACACCGATGCATCGCCAACCTCCCCCATCCAACGCAGTGTAGGCGAGGTCTCCTGCAAGGAGACACAGGGCCAGAGATTGAGATGATGCGCAGCGTACCGGACCGCAAACGACCAAAGAACATGGGGAGCAGCCGCATGGATCATGGAGGTACGAGCGACCTCCATGACTAAGCCAATGCGACGCTCAGCAACCCCATTCTGTTGCGGAAATGCCGCAAGCGTGAACGGCTGGCGGATGCCCTCCCTACGTCAAAAGTACCACAAGAGGTCGGAGGCGAACTCACCATTTTTGTTGGAGTCTAGACGCAGGACAGGAAGGTCCTCGCAGAACCGCTCGTGGAGCTGGAGATCAAAACATCAAGGACCTCCCCCTTAAAGCGCAAGGGGAAGACCGTGGTTTAACGCGGGTAGTTGTCAAGAACTAGCAGGAAGTAACGCTCGCGGCAAGGAGGGGTGACCAAGGCGGTGGTGCCAAGGGAGAGTCTGGTGCGACAAGAGGCGACACGAGCAGCTGCTACCGGACCTGACGCGGACACCTGACCAGATGCAGCTACCTGAGTAGGCTTAGTAGTCAGTGTGTACAGACCCGACCCAGGCCGACGGGTGAACGTGGCCAGGTGACGGCCCGTCCGTGCACACGTGTAGATCGACACACGCTGACCCCCAGGAGTGGTGGTAGTGACCATCGCATCCTAAAGGGCAGCGGTACTCACCAAGTTCGTAGAGAATGAGGGGAGGTGAAGATCTGAGAATGAGCCAGACGGAACCGCCGTACACAGGAGAACAGTGGAGGAACGTGCAAGAACCGGGCCACCTGAGGGGTCAGCCAATCTGACAGCAACAGGTGCAGGGAGTGGTGTGACTGTGGTACTCTCGCGAGAGAAACAGCAGGAAGCACCTAAGTCAAGCGTGAATGTGTGTATGGCCTCAGCAGGTGCAGTACCAGGGAGAGCAGACTCACTAGCACCTAGAGCAGCAACCTCTATTCCTGGGTCAGGCCGCATACATAGGTAACAGTCACCCTCAGCACTTACAGTCAAAGCATACATGGCAGCAAGGATACGTCATAGTCAAGAGCAAAGATATCCACACCCTCCCTAAGCAGCTCTAGCCAGCGGGAGAGTTTTTCGCGTCGGGAAACTGTGCGAGCCAGTCGTCGTCAAGACAGGAGAAGCATCTGTACTGTGTGTGACCAACCTTCCCGCTTCTCTGACCAGCGCAGTCACCTGTGCGAATGATGTATTGGCAACGAACACTACCCCTAGACGCCCCACGCTGAGCAAACCACTCACGAAGCTGCTGAGGTGTAAAGGTCTCGCACGGACGCTGCTGCTACCACTGCCAGAACCTCCCCTATGACTGGTTCCACCCCGAGTGTCACCACTGCTGCCGCTACCACTCCCACTGCCGCCACCACTGCCGCCGCCACCACTCCCACTGCCGCCACCACCGCCGCCACGAACGCCTCCACTCCCACCACCACTCCCTCTGCCACCACCGCCACCTCCACCGCCTCCACCACCGCCTCCACCGTTGCCACCCCCACCACCCTTGCCTCCCTTGCCTTTGCCGCTGCGGCGCCGACTCGACCTCCGGAGCAGACGCAGCTCCGACCTCCTCCGCACGAAGGAAGTTAACAGCAACAGCAGAAGCGAAAGAGGGAACAAGGGGGGAGGGGGAACACCCCTCAAAGAAGGGAGTGCGAGGAGTGCCACGAGCAGCACCTACAGCGTCTATGCTAGCCTCAGGTGCAAGGAGTGGTTTTTGAGCAGTTCGACAGTGAGGTCTCTGGGGTCAAGGGTGAGAAGGAGGTCCCTGACGGCGCTAAGAGAGTCGGGGAGGCGGGTGACGATGAAGTAAAGAGCGATGTACATGGGAGGAGGGTTCTCGTCTGAAGCGCGGCGCGGTACCGAGTGTCACTAGTGCAAAGGTGGGTGACGAGGTCATCAACGGTGGCAAAGGCAAACAGCTCGGGAATAAGGTAGGGTAGTATAAGGCGGCCGAGAGCAGCAGTGGCCGGGGAGGAGTAACGAGCGACTACAGCATCGTATAGGGCTTTAGCACTCTTGTGCTGGCCAAAGTGAGCGCATTCGGCTAACGGTATGTGGTTGCAAACGGCTAGGTGAGCAGCAGCGTCACGTGGAAGCTACTGTGAGCGAGTCGCACTGACAGTTGTGTCGGGAGGGGCGAGAGAGGCTCCAGATGTGTGGTCAAACAACAAAATGTCGTCTCTAGGATCGCCCAGCAGGTACAGCTGTAAGTCATCGAGCCACGTATCGAACTGGATCGAACGGCCCTCAAGATCGATTATGAGAACGTTGAGAGTAGCCATAGCGAGCAGAGCACGGTGGCCCGCGAGCAGCGGGGTGCAAGCAAGGACGGTGCGACGGGCAGGGCGGCGCGCAAGCGCGTAGGGCAAGGCGGGGCAGCGCACGGCTAACGCAGGGCGGCACAACTGGTAGGGCAGGGCGGCGGCCAGCAGGGCGGCACGCGAGCAGGGCGGCAGCTAGCAGGGCGGCTTGCGGGCAGGGCAGGGCAGGGCGGCGGCCAGCAGGGCAGCGCGCGGGCAGGGCAGGGCGGTGCGGCGGCCAGCAGGGCAGCACGCGGGCAGGGCAGGGCGGCGCGGCGCTAGCAGGGCAGCGCGTCGGGCAGGGGAGGGCGGAACACGACCAGCAGGGCGGCACGACGGGCAGGGCAGGGCGGCGCTGCGCGAGCAGGGCGGCGCGACGGGCAGGGCAGAGCAGCGCGCGGCCAGCAGGGTGGCACACGGGCAGGAAAGGGCGACGTGCGGGATGAAAAGGGCGGCGCGCCAGCTGAAAATGGCAAAGCGTGGGCAGGGCAGGGTGGCGCGCAGCGAGCAGGGCAGCGCGACGATCAGGGCAGGGCAGGGCAGCGCGACTGGTGGGGTAGGGCGCTACGGGTAGCTTATGATTCGGTGGGCCAAAAAAAAAAAAAGGTCCTAGAACAGGACCTGCTGTGAAACCATGTCGAGAAACTGAACAGGAATGAATGCATTGAGAAGAAAGGTGGTACAAGTAGTTGGGGTTGTACCCCTAATGGGCTACCCCACTACTGTCAACACAACCTAAACATAATGTGAAGAAATGAGGAATGAATGAACTAGGAAACAGGTGGGTACAAGTAGGAAAACCTAAAAGTGTTGTACCCCATATTGTCTACCCCACTACAGCCTACACAGACTATAGCATATGAGTTTGACACACCCCCATAGGCAAAGTTGGGGAGAACAAGAGCTCAAACGACCAGTCAAGCAAAGCAAAGCAAGCTCAGGTTGGATCACAACGTCACCACACATTCCGAGCACAAGTTCAAGGCCATAAGGCCAGTTCACATGCAAGATCATATATAAAGGTAGACAAGCAAGTGCAGGTATAGAAAGGTCACAGTAAAAGCAAGGTCAAGAAGTGAGCAAGTGAGGCCAAGTAGGCACAAGACCGAGCATCGTACAGCAACGCTGATGATCACAAGGTGGAAGTGCCTTGGTAAAGATATCAGCAGTGTTGGCCTCAGAGGCCACGTAAGCAAGGCGCAGCCGACCACGCTGCTGCAGCTCACGAGCAAGGAAGTAGCGAAGAGCAATTTGCTTCGTTCTGTGCTCCAGTCTGTGCTCCCGACACAAGGCCAGCATGGCCTTGTTGTCCACGTAGAGAACTGGAGGAGAACGAGGCGGCTCTCCTAGGTCAGTCAGCAGGTAGGTGAGCAAGCGTAGCTCTTGTGCAGCCATGGCCCCCGCGTAGATCTCAGCCTCACAGCTGGAGCCAAGAACAGAAGACGAGCGGGTAGACCGCCACGAAACAGAGCCAGAACCAAGGCTGAAGGTGTAACCCTGTGACGACCGCTGCGTAGCCTGGTCGTCAGCCCAAGAAGCGTCTGCGTGACCTGTGAGCACCACTAAACGTCGCCCTCCAAGCACTAGCCCCATGCCCGACGTAGTGCACAAGTAGCGCAACACCCTCTTCACTGCAGCCATGTGCTTTGGTCGGTGTCTCCCAGGAGCGACATAGCGTGCCAAGATGCTAAGAGGGTATGCAAGGTCAGGTCGTGTGCAGGTCATCAGGTACATGAGGCAGCCAACAAGCTCTGGGTACGGGCCACTCGGCTCTACGGACTCATCCGAAGGCAGAGCTGAGAGCGAGTGGCGAGTAGACAGAGGAGTGGCCTGAGGCGAGGAGTACGTGAAGTCGAAGCGCTGAAAGACCTGCTACACCATGTGTGACTGAGTCAGGGTAATGGTGCGCTGTGCTCTGTCCCGGGTGATCTGCAAGCCAAGGTAGCTGCGCAGTTCACCCAGGTCAGTGCACGTGTGTCTTTTCTGCAGCTCTGACTTCACGTGGGCGAGGCCAGTAGTGTCAGCAGTGGCAAAGACCAAGTCGTGGACGTACACGAGGATGTAGAACGGCGGCAAAGAGGTGTCGGTGCGCAGAAACAGCGACGGGTCGGCAGTAGAAGGAGCAAAGACAAGAGCCGCAAGTGTAGTCCTCAATGTGTCGTGCCACTCACGGGGCGCCTGGCGGAGTCCGTAGACAGGCCGCCGGAGGCTCCACTGGGTACCAGGAGGAAACGACCCAGTGAAGCCAGGTGGGCGGCGCAGCCAGATCTCCTCGTGCAGGCTGCCCTGCAAGAAAGCTGTGCTGAAGTCAAGAGAGTGAAGCTCGTAGTCGCGCTGAGCGGCTATGTGCAGCAGCACCCGAAGAGTGGTCATCTTCGGGGTGGGAGAGAAGGTCTGAAAGTAGTCAACTCCCTGCCGCTAACTGAAGCCTCGAGCCACGTAACGCGCCTTGAAGACAGGCGGAGAACCAAGCGGCTGCTTCACCCTGAAAATCCACATGCCACTAACGATGTTCGCCCCAGATGGGGGAACCTCGTCGACGTAGGTGCCTGTGGACTTCCAAGAAGCCATCTCTGCGTCCATGGCTGACTGCCACTGAGAGGAGTAGGGACCCTCTATCGCCTCTGCGTAAGAGCGCGGAGTCGGGATGTCTGGTGCATCCGGGTCTCCCTCAGGGGCAATCAGCATGGACACGAGATGAGGTAAAGCAGCAGCAAAACATTTGAACTCCTCCTCCGTGTCCTCAAGGACGTCCGTGCTAAGAGCACACTCACCCCCGACGGACGGAGGACAGAGAGAATCAGACTCAGCTACGAGACTAGCGGCGTAGTCGAGACGAGAGCGATCAGCAAAGTTGACAAGCTCAGCAACTAAGGCAGACGTGGCAGTGGACTCAAAGGAAGGGTCAGTGACAACAGTAGCCAGGAGACGCGTGATAGTAGGACTGGCAGCACGAAGAGAGTCAGACTCCGGGTCAGCAAGAACAAGAATAGAGGACTCTGGAGGAGACGGCAACGGGACACGTAGAGAAGCAGTGGAAGGACGCAGTGCCATCTGGTGTGTGCCTGGGACTGCAGAAGGACGCGGACGCGGAGCACGACTACCAGTGCGAGCAGCACGAACAGGCGACGCAGGACGAGACGCAGGCTCACAACGCTCAGCAAGACCTCCAGTAGGACCAGTGTAGGGAGAAGGAGTAGGTAGGGGGGAGGCGGGCTGTAACTATGACCGCGACTGGACAGGCTGTGGACACTCTAAGGGAGAAGCAGGACCAGTAGAGGGCGGGAGGACAAGAACCTGCTCAAGGAGCGGAACGAAGTACGGCCGCGGCTGCGCAGTGCCTCCAGAACCAGCAGGGACAGCACCACTACCCCCAGCGGCAGCACCAGCGCCAGCAGCACCTCCAGCTCCAACAGCGCCAACTCCAGCATCCTCAGAAGCACCAGCGCCAGCAGCACCACCAGTGCCAACACCCCCAGCAGCTCCAGCTCCAGCAGCTCCAGCAGCTCCAACAGCACCAACTCCAGCAGCTCCATCAGCACCAACTCCAGCAGGACCGTCAGCTCCACTACCGCCAGCAGTACCTCCAGCAGGACCAACTCCAGCAGCCCCAGCAGAACCCCCAGTCCCAACAGCTCTAGTACCGCCAGTACGAGCACCTCCAGGACCAGTGGCTCCAATGACTCCAGTGCCGACCCCAGGGTCAACAGTAACAGCACCACCTCCAGCTCCAGCAGCACGGCTCCAGCACTGGGCAAACCACTTGCGCAGCTCCTGTGGAGAGGGTAGCTCCCGCCTCGACGAAGCACCCGAAGGGGCCCCAAACCCAGCATCGCCAAAGGCCACACGAGCAGACCCAGCACCCCCAGGCTCCGCACCCCCAGGCTCCGCACCCGCAGACTCAGCACCCCCGGGCTCAGCACCCCTAGCAGCACCAGAGTCAACAGCTGCCAAGACAGGCTCGACTGCGTCTACCTGGGACACACCTCACGGGGCAGGACCTTGAGGGGGGAGGGGGTCTACCGGGGGGGGGCCTAGCGCAAGGAAGAGCGGCAACGGGGGGAGGGGCGCAGTGCGGTAGGGGAAGAGACTGTAGTAAGGCACCGACTCGTCAAAGGTGACGTCCTGGGAGGACAGAACACGGCGTAAGGTGGGGTGGTAAAACAGCTAACCAGGCGCGTCAGGGGGGAAGCCAAGGAAGACGCAAGGAACAGCACGGGGGGACAGCTTGTCCGCAGACAAGTCGCGGACAAACGCCCGAGATCCCGAGACACGAAACGCAGATGCATCGCCAACCTTCCCCGTCCACCGCAAGGTGGGGGAGGTCTCTAGCAAGGAGACCCGGGGCTGAAGGTTGATCTGATGCTCTGCGTACTGAACTGCAAACGGCCACAGAAAATGGGGAGCAGCCGCATGGATCATGGACGTACGAGCGACGTCCATGACCATGCCAATGCGGCGCTCAGCAATCCCATTTTGCTGTGGAGAGGCCGGAAGCATGAAGGTCTGGCGGATGCCCTGTGC